AAATAGGTAAATAATATTTATTTCTTCCTTTGTAACTTAAGTTCCGATTTTGAAGTACTACTAAATTAATATTATTAATTATAATTAATAAATTTTGCATTTTTTTATAAGTTAGAGCATTAGTAGGTTATATAATTTATTTATATAATTAATAGGTTATACATAATTTCATAAGTAGGTTTACATTTAATATATATCAGGAGAATTCAGTCATGTATATTCTATATGTTTGTATATTTTATTTTAACATAAAGTATATCATAATTTTGATGCATCTCTTTCAGAGTTTTCTAATGTAGAATTTACATATATTTATAATGTTTTTATTTATATTATATTTACTTTTACATCAGTTATTATAACTTCAATTTTTATCTAATCCATATTTTGATTTAAAATGGAAAATTATTTTTTAATAATTGAATCTAATTTTATCCGAATTATTATATTCTATTATATAATATTATTCTACTAATAATTGTAAATTCAAGTTTCCAAAAATCTTAAAATAGTATGTGGAAAGTTATTGAAATTTACAATAACTTTCATGTAGGGACATTAATAATCTAGTATTTTGAAATTTAGATACTAACATAATATTATATAAATAAATTTAAAGATTTTGTATTATATAGTAAAATATCATTAAATTTTAACCTTAATTTTAAATTAATATAGATAGAATAATAATTTTTAGAAAAAATATTTTAAGGTATTAAATAGTCAAAATAATAATTATTATATTAATCGTTGGTAATAATAGTATAAAATTTCAAAGTATAAATTTTATCTTAATAAACAAATAAATTTCTGTACTCTTCAAGAACAGCGGTTTACTCTCCAAGTATTTTAAACAATTTAAAGTTACAATTTTTTCTACGTGAAGAAAAAAGTAATAATATTTTGTACATTATAAGTGGAGAAGGAAAATGAAAGGGAGAAAGAATGAAATGGAAGATGAGAGTGAGATGAACTAAGAGTGTAGATTAAGGAGTGTACGGATGTAGAGAATCGATTGTAACCGGTCCAAGGAAAGCTGCGTTCTGATAACCTAGTTTCGAAAGTACACATAAGAAAACTTGCTATCGGTTAGATTGCTCTACGCTCATATTTTTATTCGATTTCATCATATCTTCATTATGTGTTATTTTATGTTTATCATTCAAGCGTATACGAAAATAATAAGCGCACAACTCATATCTTTAATTATAATTCAAATTTTAAAATTGTAGTTAATATAGAAATATTATTGATTATTAAGAATAAGGAAGTAAATTAATTTTAAATATTGAAGTATTTTGAATCAAAATTGCCATAGAAACTGAACTAATTATTTTTTAACATCATATTCAATATTAAAGGGAATTAATTATATTTTGTATATCAATGACAATTCTAATTAAATTTTAATCAAATTTAATAAATAAATAAAATAATGTCGTTTATTAAGTATGTTTAAGAGATTAAATATAAAAAATTTTTTTTTGTATACTTTGAACATTAATGATAAAGAAATAAGTATGTAACAATAAAATAAGAATGCAATATAAACAAGAATGTAGTAATGCTTTCTAGTTGAGTATATTAATATGGATGAACTGTACAACATTTCCTTCGAGCATTTCACGAATGATTGAGTAATTATTGAAAAAATTATTATTTTAATTAAGTCACTACATCATTATTATATATATATTTACTTAAACTTGAAACGAGCATTAAAAATTATTAAATCAATTAATTGACAAAGAAATTTATGATAAAAACATTGGACTATTTATAATTAAATTACAGTTGCTCATCGACTAGCATCGACTATTAATTTAAGGATTTTACTATTATAAAGGTTTTTTTAACATACACGAAAAAAAAGTATCACGTACTATCATGGAAATTGTACTAATGAAAAATCGCAAAATTACTATCTTCTGCTCTCGGAAATATCAATTAGTGTACCTGATAAGTTGAAAGAAATAAAATTCTTAATATTTCAAATCACGATAGACTATTTTAAAATTAAAAAGTTACTAAAGTGATCTAATGAATTTTCAGTGTCGGTAGACAATCAAAAACAATTTTTTTTATATTTGAATTTTATTTATTATTGAACATAATATAAATCATATTAATTTTCAATACTTTAGTATTAATCGGAAAAAAACTAATATTTTTATAGATTATTAATATTATTTTTCATCAATATCAATTATTTTAAATCTGTCAATTACACATATTATATTATAACTCTATTGTTTTGTTAATAATATTTAATATATTTTAATATATTTATCAATTATTTATAGTAAAAATAAAATTGTGAAACTGATAAAAATAGAAAATTTTAAAGAATATAAGCGATATACATTCATGTATTTTTGACAAATAATTTTTTCAAGTATATAGTTGTACAAATTTTAATTGATAATGATAATGATATTTTTATTCATAATAATTTGTAAATTACAAAAAATAGAAGGTAATGTAATTGAACATTATTCAAAGTTTTATATTATATTGTAATGTTTTTTCTATTAGTTTAGGCAACAAAATCTAAAAATATCTAAAAATATATTAGAACATATACCAAACATAGATTAGAAGACCCTTTGTAATTAACAAAATAATTGTAAAATATTTTGTGCTAATAGTTTTTTAGATTGTTATTGTATGTTTTTTTCTTCTAAGTCAATTCACAATTTTTAAAATATAATTATATTATTGAAATTGTACATATTTCTAATAATAATACCTGTGATAAATCTGACGAGTTTCGAAATATGTTGCATATTAAAGAATATATTTATATAATAAAAAAAATTAGTAAAATCTAATAAACATAATATATGTAAATAATGCAGTTTAGTAGAATAGTGAGTACAAATGAATGTTGTAAATAGCTTTGTAAGTGATATATTCTTGAGAGATAAAGAAATTAAAGAAAATAATAAAATTCAAATTAGACATTGAGTTACATTAAAAAACAAAATTACGTAAAAGAGGTAGAAAATTTAGTCTAATAAGATTGGTTACAACTTGTAGTTATGAGAATGAACGAAAAATTGTTTAAATAAAATGAAATAATACCGATCAAGTGTAATAATATGTACAAAAAATAGAGATGGGTTCACATGTGCAATTAAGTGAAATGAACACTTTTTTGAATAAGCACTTTAATCGTTTAACGTGTATAACATTTAATTTATCCAGAATAAGGAAAATATTTCAAATATAATTTAAAAATCGAATTCAGTAAAATATCGCGCAAGCGAAATTAACAAATTGTGAGATAATTATGATTAGTTTTCCTATAATTCTTAATAAATAAATAATTTTCTTGAAGACAAAATATAGCGAAGTTCAACTAAGTAAATATAAATACAATATAAGATCGTTTACTTTTTTCTTCTTCTCTTGTTTATTTTATAATAAAAATTTTAAATATTTTACATTATTTTGAGAGTATTTTATACCTTCATTTTTCAGCTATTCTACCGTATTATCCAATTATTTATTTTTTAGACTTTCATGTAATTGTTGATCTTTTGAGTATGATTGCCCTGAAGTATTTTTAAGTTCTCAATTTATATTAATATTGCAACTAACCATTGTTGATAAAAATTATAACTTCGCGTAATTTTGTTTCATATAATTTACTCCAATAATTTATAAATATAAGTGCATTCTTTTTAATTTATTTTTTAATATTTAATACTTTATTGTCATAAATAAATATAGCTTTCAACTCATAAATATAGTTCTAATTCAACCAAAAAAATGTCAGCTAAAAAAAAATAGTATAGATATTACATTACTTTATTAAATATACGTATCAACATATTTTTTATTCATCTTAAGTTACAAGATCAATATCTTAAATTACAAAGATACATATATTCATGAATAAATTTTGTGCATACGTATTTAAGTTTGTATCTTATAAAACTAAGTACATTAAATTTTTTTTATATAAACTCTAATTAAGTGATTAAAATATTCTTTTAGTTTTATTAAGATTTATATTTAAGAATTAATATATATATTCTTAAACTTCTATTAACTTTGAGTATCCATAAAAGTTGAATAAAAAATTTGTATAATAATTTGCTATTACTTTTTCTGTTAATAATATATGTAAAAATAACTTTCAAATCATTATTATGAAGAAAAATTTATATGCTTAAATTTTGTGTAATGTAATTTAAAAATATGAATGTACTGTATTTTATTATTATATTATTACTGTATTATTTTATTAATGGTTTAATATGATTATAAAATTAGAAAAATAGGTGAGATATAGTTAATAATATAAAATAACTTTTTAAATTATAAAAGTATTATTACATCAGTAGATTCCCATACATTTCCTTAAAAAGATTTAAACAGCAATGTTAATTAATCTGCTATGTACATAGAACAGGAATCGAAATCCTAGGAAATATTTACCTACACGTCTCCTTTTCCTCTTCTCTTTTCCTCTCTTTTGTACACAAATTTTTTTTATTTAGTTATATCATATTTTAATATTAGTATATTATTGACATGATATAGTAATACATTTTAATAATTATATACAATAACAACCTTATTTAAAATGCTGCTTATTTTTATATATTTAAAATTTAAAATATTTATTTCAGATTTTAGTAAATTAATTAAAATATTTAAAAGTATTAAACTTTGTAAAAAATTATTTGGTAATAAAAAATTAATTAAACAATTTTTTATTAGATAAATATTATTTTATATAGATGAAGACTAATTCTATAATTTATAATAAAGTTTATATTTCAATTTTCTACTTATATTTTTCATTACCTAAGACCATAATGTATTATGCGTAAAATGTAGTCACAATATAATTATTAGTAAAGATCTTATAGCATTTATTAAACAAATAACTTTAAATAGATAACTTCGTATTAAGATTTTAATTAAAGAAATATAAAAATAATATTCAATTTTTAGTATGATACATGTTCGGATCGGTTGCTACATACCTGAATATAAAATCTTTATGACAAATGATAAGTGTTCGGACAGTTGGTGTATGGGATTCCAGATAAGGAATGTACAATGGGCCAACAAGAAGCGATCGACTTAAGAAGGTAGTAAATACAGAATTATTTACTTGATACGATATGCTGGGCATGCGCAATCTTAACATGCCTTAAACTTTAAAAAATCCTCCATCATCCGCATGAGGGCGCAGAAGCTTGTATGTTGTCTGATATGATTAATTTAATGGTGAATTCCAATTATCAGCTTAAAATGTTTTATGCATGTCAGGAGTATTTTTTTATCGTAATGCAATGAAGTAATTCTATCGCATTCCAGAAAAACGGTTAAATTAATAATAAAACATAGCATAACCAGGCAAACGAGTATGTAATATTTACTATCGCGCCAATCTAAAACGCTACGAAAGCAAAATACTGCACTCAGCGCTATCATTGTAATGCGGCCAAATTCTTAACTTGAGCACAACATTGAGCGTCATGTTCCATCTTGAATTATGATCTTGTTCGGTAAACACAGACTTTGTTACTTCGATATATTATCTGGTTCTCTACCGTCGTCATTTATTTAGTATACCATAATCATCTTAGTTCCTTTAATATTCTTCATAATTTGGTGTCGTTCTTGTTTAGAGAGGCCACATTACGTGTGTAAACTTTCGTGTCATATTTCTATAGAAAATTCTTCCTTTCGGGAGGTGTCTTTCGTCTTGCTACTGCCGTTAAAAAACATGGTAGATGTAAATAAATTATTTCAGAAATACATTATTTAATGCACTCCATTGTTTAGATGTTTCTACCTTACTGATTCTATAGTAGTGTCTACCTTAATCTTGCCACCTGTGTCATGACTGAAAGGCGTATATGGATTTTGCCAAAGGAACCCTTTTAGCATAAAGATGCCAAAAACTACCAAATACCGAAAAAGATTAATGATAATTGTCGCAATTGATAAAATAGTTTCTACATTAAATTTTTTTATTATTTAAATTTTTTTTATGCTTATTAAACACAAATTTTGGTAATTATCTGTTAAATCTAAACAATCGAGTCTATATTAGCCTTAACTTTACACCGATCCTTTTGTTCTTGTTGTTTTTTCTTTTTATTCCCTTATTGTAAATTATAGCAGTTTATTTTATAAACTTTGATTTTAATATCGTAATTTTAAATGGAAAGCGAGAATATCATGAATGAATTTGCATTTTTACAAATTCAGTACATTTATTTACAAACTTATAATTCTGATTATGTAAAATAATAATACATTTATGTTGATAATAAAGAACTTATATGAAAAAAGCATAATTTAAAAGTTTAATAAATTATATATCATTGCATTACTACATATAAATATTACATATAAATAACTGATTTGTAATAAGTGTATTAATAAAATCCTTTTTTATTATAATTAGATTAAATTGCTAAATTCAGATTTTAATTATCAGAATTTGAAGTTTTTATTTCTATTATGTAATTACATATTAATTTACTAAAAAGTTTAATGTATATCATTACGAATTATATTAGAATGAAATATTAGTATTTAGAATAATAACCATTTTCTACATATCTATAAGTTTAAATAAATTTTTAAATTATTCAAATAAAATTTTACCTTCTAATGTCTAAGATTTTTTAATTCTAAATTTATTATTTAATAACTCTTTAATTATTTCATAAAACCTATAATTCGTATTTGATATATAACTACTATTTCCTAAGAAATATACTTTTTAGTTAAAATGTATTCTATATGTGTTTTATATTATGTAATAATTAAATACTTTTATTTTAATTCAAGATTTAATTTTTATTGTAAATTAAATTACATTAAATAGTATATAAATTTCATATTTAGTTATATATATTTGATATTACAATTAACATAAAATTTTTAAAAATCAATATTCATTTGGTAATAATGGTAATTAAATGTTTAAATATACTGTGTGTTATTGAAATATTTTTATTCTCATTATAAACTAACATCAAATTAGTTTTCTAAATATTGAATAAATAAAAAATTTATTGTATTGCCTAACATTATCTAAAATAATTTATACTTATGTTTAATAGTTAGATACTTACTAGAATTTATACCTTTCAATAATTATTATACTTTTGATCAACCGAAGAGCTTCGAGCAACCAAATTATTCTAAAAATTTCATCTTTAATTATTATAGAACAATGACATATCGATAGTAGATAAAAGTAAGAGTATAAATTTAATAATTGCAGAATTTCTTGAAAGTAACTCGAAGCCATTTTGACCTGATTGTAAGTAAATTTGGCTCTCGATGATCCAATTAACTCCATAACGCGTGCTACTCTTTTAACCGGAAAGGTATTTATGAAGACAAAATTTTTTTCAATACATTTATTTTACGAACTCATTTTGTAAATGTAGAATAATATATTATGTATTATTTTAAAAGTTGAGATTATACTATTTAAACATTATCTTAAGTATGATTGGTTATAAATAATAATTTTTTTTACAGGAAAACACTGAAGTAGATTTTAAGATAATTAAATATTTAAAATAATAACATTTATTCATATCTTTGTAATACTTTCTTTATATTTTCATAAAGCTTTATAAAATATTAAATATCTATAAAACCAGGATCAGATATGCATACAGGTACATATCCCAGTATTAATTATGCTGAAATAAAGGAATAAATTTATTTGCAGAATTTTATTATATTAATATGTTCGTAAAAGTTTTATAGTTTAAAAATCAATTTCTTATCATTACATTTAACTGTATTTCACTCGCCTCTTTTCTTCTTTTTTTTCTTTTACTTGTTCAGCTTTTCTCACTTCTTCACTTACTGTTATTATTAAAATAGACAAAGTTTCAGATTAAGTTTCAGAGTAAAATTATTTTCATCATTATTACGTATGTTGTTTTAGTTTATTATTATGGTATATTCGAATATTTTTATTTTAAGTTTCATTTTATAACTGTACTAAAAAAAAGATCCAAGAAGGAAAGAAAATATAAATGTTATAAGCGATGAACAGTCATCATGATTATATAAAAGAATTCGATTTTTTGATAATTTTGTATTTATAATCTGTTATTATGGTTATATTCATTTTTAATAATTGGCTTATTTATATATATATTTATATATATGATTGATTTAAATTAAAGTAAACTAAATATTCGATTAATCAATTAATTATATCATTTAATTAGTATAAAATAATTTATTATGACATTTTAATTAGAATTATGATAACAATTATATTTTTATTTAGAATTTTATTAGTTTATTGTTAACTTAAAACATTACAGTATATAAAAAATAATCAAATTTACTGTAAAACCTGTATTTCATATTTTGACTACGAGATGATTCCATTTTTATCAGTATTGTTTTAATGTAGAGAAAATTATATTTGCATATATAAAAGTTATTTATTTAGTTTCTATAGAAAAATAATTGTTATATTACCTAGTCGCAGGTATTAGAAGTTCAAAATAGTTTTTTTAATTAAAAAAAATATAATTTATTATTTTGAATACAATATTTATTTTTTATAAGTTGTATTTTAACTTTTTATATTATAAATTAAAATATTAATATATATAATTTATTATATTACATTACATTATTTATTGTATTTTATTCGATATATTATGAGTAATTATTATACAAAGTTACAAACATACGTACATAAAAACACAAATGCATATATACATATATAATATGTTGTATTAATATATATTAATATAAATTAATGTTTGCGAAAATTAATTTTTGTATGACTGTAGGCAAAATGAGTCGGTATCGGGACTTACAAAATTTATGTGTAATATCTACCGAAAGCTGAGCACCTTCTCCATATATTTGTGTATACATATTAATATTACCCCCCCCCTCCCCCACATACATATACTTTCAATCAAGATTTCAAGAAAACTTATTTCTAGGCGATAAACGTTTTGCCTGATTTTTCGAATCTTTTGCAAAGCAAGAAATTATTTCTAACAGTACAGTTGTTGCACACTATTAGTGAGCAAATCTACCAGTTAGTACCAATTTCAAAAAGAATTGCAGGAAAAATAACCGCGTGCTGGTACAACGTTATTCAAGGTGAATAAGGAGAAAGGTCAGTACAAACAAGTGTCAATTTCTCCGAACAGGAAATAACAAAAAAACAATTATTAGAAAACAATTATGCTTGCCACAAATATTGTCGTTATTGCTTATATAAATGTTCCATTCATTCTTCAAAATTCTTTTTCTATTATTTTTATATAATTATATATACGATTATTTTGATTATTTTATGACTTGCTCAAATAGAATATTTACTTTTAATAATTGATTTATTAAGGAGGCTCTTAGTTTCATAATAAAGTACTAGAACTAGATTATTAGAATGATTTCAAATATATAGAATTAATAAATTCCATTAAAAATGTTATATCTCAAAATCCTTTCTTAATTCAATGGTAATGCTGAAATTGTAGATTTTCGTATTCGATATAATTGTAAAATAATTTACAGTTTCTTTAATAATTCAATGCAAATACAAAATGAAATATTAATTTGTTCTATTGTTAATGAACATCCTATTAGTTTATAAAAGTTACTATAAATTATAATACAAAAAATACAAATATAACAAATAAATACAAAAATACGATATTCGCAATTACAAATACTTTAAATGTATCAAGTAAAAATGACCAGATTATAGTATAGTAAAGTACAAGTATTTTTAATATGGTTATAGAATACTCATAAAAATGATTATTATTAATCAGAAATTAAAATTTTGATCTATTACAAAAACAAGAATAATATTAAATTATTTAACTTTAATGACAAAGACAAATCAATCAATTAAATAGTATATGTAATAAATTTGTTACAATTTTAATTTAAATTAATTAGTGATTTTAAACTTAATACCGCATTATGAACGTTTTCCTAAAGATAATCTGATTAAATTACGATTAAATTATTTGAAAAAATTAAAATGCATTGCTAGTAAAGTTAATGTGGTACAAAAATAACATTGTTACAAAAATAATAATTCTCAAATTTTATGCAATACATCTTGTCAATTATTATTCATCCACTCGAAAAGTACAAACATTAAATTGAATTAGAAACATAATTATTTAATTTAAAAATATGATTATATATTTCATAAAACGTATGCAGTTGAATAGAATACTTTGTGGTGCTTTACGTCGTTATTTATTTTTGCATGCTAAATTGGCTTAGTCGGGTTTTTGTCA